TCATTTTCTATTAGTTTGTCTGTTTTGTGGTCCCACCAATTCTTGCTTACAGGCAAATGGTATTTCTTACAGATATTCCAATGTACCAGTGTTATTACTTTGCCATGATGTTGTTTGTAGTCAATCTGTGCAATCTTCTTGCAGCAGAATTACAAGCTCTTTCATTTCAGCTTCTTTTTTATTCTTATTTACCTCCTTTATCCAAGCTGCATTCTTGTTGTATTTTTTTGGGTTGTCCCATAGCTGCGTCCAGAACTGCACTGTTTCTTCTATGTCAGGTGTTGGCTGGTTCATTGCAGTCTCTCCATTGCTGGATTGGCAACAGCTTTTCTTCCAATAGTCCTCCAGCTGCTGGCCCTGGTTGCTCAGCCAACAGCTCTGAGTCCTGTAGCCCACTTGTCACCAGATGTCCAGGAATTAGAACACCTAGCGTGGTCCTTGTTGACCCAGGCGATGACTGATCCAGTATAGGTTTCTGTAAATTATGTCTCACCATATTGTTTATGGAAGAGACACTCTTCGTCTGACTCCTCTGATGAGACCTGTCCAGTATGGTTGAACCTCCGGCATAACTCTCATCCTCCTTGGAGCATGCAAGCCCCACAACCATGTCAAGGTAGTGTCTCACTGGGAGTATAAATTATTATCATTATTATTATTATCAATAATAATTTGGACCTAGTGGAACTGGCTTCCAAGTAGATAAGAATGAGAGTGTGACCATGTCTCAAAAATATAGAAAAGCAGCAAACCAAACTCTGCTTAAGAACAAAAGTAAACTCTGCTTAAGAACAAAAGGAATGTGTGGATAAGAGGAATAGAATTCTCCCCCTGACAGATTTTGTCTATCTCCCTAAGCTTTTCCTCTAAGCTAGGCTCAATTTTGATATCGGATCTTGCGGGAAAAAAATCTGTTTACAGGGGTGTAGATTATTGTATGGTGGAGCTTCTTTCACTTATGCCTTCATTTGCTTTTAAAACTAGTTTTTGACTGACTAGATTTTATCACAAACTGGAGCAGGCCACGAATTAAACATAATAATTCATGTTCTTTGCAGTATTACTTATGCATCACTTAAAAGAACAGTAGCCTTTATAAGTGAATGAGCAAGTAAAATTGTGTTGTGTTACATGGTGTTTGTAACTTGATGTTGCTGGCAATGTTTGCTCACCCTGTTTGGTTACCAATGGTTAGCAAGATTACAGCTGGGTTCACAAATTGTTGGTTTCATAGAATACATGGAATAATAAACTAACCATACATAAGGCAGCTCCTGCCAAAACAGTAGGCGAAAATGTGGTTGGCTGGTTTGTGGCTGTATGTGTGATGTAAATGCAGCCTGTGTGTCATATGCCACTGTTCAGTGTGGAAAGAATGGTAACAAATGAAGCAGCATCTGGCTATGGTTGGAGAATTTCTGTGCCACGCTTCTGGGCAAGAATGCAGAAATTGATAGAATCAGTCTTGACATTATGACAAAAAACTGTAAGCTTTCAGTTCTGTGGATTTACATTTTATAATATAATCGAGTGGCTTTTGTGCATTTCCTTGTTTCCCACTTTACATCAGAAAGGTGTTGCTTCCAAAGATTTTTGTATCTGGGAAAAAGTAAAGCTCAGCCTAATGAAAATATGAAAAATGGACATGATTTTAGTTCTACTTCAGCATCTCATCTGGTACTAATCAGTTCTAACAAATCTAGGTTGGGACTGTGCATTTGTCAACATGTGACTAGTTCTAGTCTTAGTTTAAGAGAAAGTAGTAGGTTTTGAATTCTTTGGGAGGTGTGGGAGCAAGAATAAAGGACTGTTTCTGGAGTGGTTAAAGCAGTTGTATCGTTTTCCAGGTACCCTCAGTATCTTCAAAACCCATTCCCCTCCATTTTCACATGTGTGAGGTGGCTGTGTTTTCACAGACGTATGAAGACAGCCAGGAGCAAGTTCCAAAACAGCTGCATGAACCTGGAAAAAGACATGGTTGTTTTAATTATTCCAAAAGCGATATTCTGAACATGCAGATGTTCCAAAGTACCTCTCAAAGGATTTGCCCAGCTCTAGAAAGTATATGGAAGAGCTATGAATAGGATGTAGTAATATCATGGAGGGAATCTAATCAGTACTGTGAAGTTTGGGGTGGAGGTGTAAACTTACCCCCTGAATTTTGCACTGTTGACTCTTGTTTGCCCTGGAGAACAATATAAAGGACCCTTTATGATACCTATAAAGAAACTTACCTTTGCTTCCAAATTAGGGTTGGCGTACTCTGGGTCCCTTCAATTAAAGAGTGTCATCTATCAGGACCCAGGAAGTGTACCTTCTCTGTCCGAGCACATCTAGAATGAGGCTCCCCCTGAGATCTTTGTGGCTCCCACCTGGGTGGCATTTGGGAAAGCTTTAAGGACCTGGCTGTTCTCCCAGGTCTTGGGTTAGGATAGTTGGGGCCCCTGTTGGATTTGTTTGGGGGTGTGGGTGTTATTAACTGGACTTGCCATTGATTCCTGTACTCTTTTGTACTGTAATGTTATTATATTGTATTTTCTATTTTGTTTGGTTTTATTATATATGACTCAGAGTCAATTTGGAGTAGGGCGGTACCTAAATTGAATAAATTAAATTAGCACCGCATCTGTGTGATCTCATACCATTCCGCAGCTAAGTCCATTTAGAAATATCTTGGCTGTGGTGTATTTGAAACCACAATAAAACTAGTTCCTTCTCTGACATGCAGCTCTTTGGAGAGTGTGAGATGTTTCCCCATTTGCAGGACCTCTTACCGCACCATGCTTCCCAGCTCCCAGCAGGTCTTTCAAGAGGAAAGATGGCTTTGATGACTTTGCTGTCTCCTTTGTGGAAACTGCTCAGACTTTTTTTTTGTTATTGTTTTTTTGTTTGCATACAATGAAACAAACACATGAATCCTGAAGCAAGGACACATGCTTGTTATATTTATTTTATTTCTATTTGTATGAAGTGGAGGTAAGGGGAAATCAGGACCTCTAGCATTATAGGGGTGGAAGGGCGATTAAATTACATTTTTGCTCCTTTTCAGTGTTTGTGTTTGGAACAAAAGTAAAGATGATAGAGGATGGTCTTCATCCAGTTTTTAAAGGGGCTGAGGAGTGAAAACAGAGATGGCATGGAAGCATCCTTAATTTTATTTCACAAAGCACATGAGATGCTTGAGGAAAATTAAGTGGGGAGATGGCTGTAACCTGTCTTGATATCACAGTCAGCTCCCCTGAAACTGCTGTATTTAAAAAACTGGAAGATCCTAAGTCCTCTTCACATCTGGTTATTCCCAGATTTATATCTAGCCTCTCAGTTCTGTTTATGCTTAATTTTCTTGTTCAGTTTGGTGCAGCTAATCATAGTTGTTTAACATTGTAAGCTATACTTGGGAGAAAATGAAACCCAAAAACCCAGAAATGAAAAGAAGATCTGAACATCTATTCTGATGCTAGGCAGCAGCATATAGTAAGGTTAAACAGTCCAGTAGTAACTTTTTAACCAGTTTATTTAATTGGACATTGCTTTCTACAGTTAATTACTGGTCTGAAATGTTATAGTCAGACTCTTGTCATCCTAATTATCATTTTATTTCATCTGTTTTAGAAAAGGTATATTTTGCCTTCAGTAGAATATTTGAGGTGGTTTACAGTAGATATAAAACTATCTTCATCTTAGAACAAAGATAAAGAAGAATGTTTAAATTAATAGAACGTTATGAATAAAATTCTACCGAGGTTTGCTGGAATGTTTGCAAGAATAGAAGAGCAAGGGGCCAAAAGGATCACTTTCCTGGAATAAGATGAGCAATAAGCATAAAAAAACAGATAAAACTGTTTGGAAGATAATCTATTCCTCTTGTTTTTAGTTAACCAGCACCACTCCCCCTCATCCTAGATGTTCTTTAAAAAACCCAAACCATCTCCTTGGACTGAGCCTAGCACCTAATCAGCAACCACTGAAGGTGCTTCAAGATTGGACTGGCCTTTGGAGACAAACTCAGGTCCAGGGGTATGGTTCCTGGACTTGTCAGAACTTCCTTCTGTTGCACAGCAGCATGCCAGTTCTTCATGGGAAGGAAGACTCCCATTTTGTGAGGAAATGTTTACTTTATTGATTTGCCTATTTATCCCGTAGACTACCAAAGTCTCTAAATTCAAGCTTTGAGCCTTCTGTTTTGGCATGCAAGTCAGCTTTAAGATTTTCTTTAAGAAGCGGGGAATGCCAGTGGCTTTGTCTCTTCTGCCAAGCTTAGGAACAGAGTTTATTCACAAGGGACATGGCCAAGGCAAGTGGGCAGGTTTCCCGCACAGTCAGAGCATCTGAATTGACAAGGGTTTAGTCTATGGAGATTCTGCCAGAGAACCTGCTCTGAGTGTAAAGTAAGTGTCGTACAGCTTGATTAAATGCACTGTTGATTCATGCATGCTTTGCAATACAAATAACCATTCTTAGAGGAAAAAGAATCTATTGCATTAGTTAATTTCTTAGACAATCCCACTCCTTCCCATATATTAGATTATGCTGTTCTTGGTTCGCTGTTTCCATTACAGAATTGTCAACATCAGCCTTTGTCATGATTGCAACCCACATTGTCTTTGTAAATATGTCTGCAAATCAGCTGTACCAGGAGACTTGGTTAGAAATAATAATACTTAGTGGAGTTGTGCAGCAGTATAAATTGGAAAGCCAAAAGGTGCTTCAGAGCTTGTGTAAGTGTACACACAATGTCTGCCTATAGCAGTCTTTCTCAAATGTAGCAAGCTGGGGAATTCAGGGAGTTGAAGTCCACACATCATAAAGTTGCCAAATGTGAGAAATGCTGGTCTATAGCTTCTTAAACCAAACATGTCTTTCCCCAGGATTGCACTTTCCCCCATATTCCAAAGCGCCTTTTGCCTTGAGATTTAAAACACTGCACACTGCTAACATTTAATATATGTGGATGTGACATCATCTAGAGTTCACAGTGAATACAATTTCACTTTTATATTAAGACTTCTGCCCTTTGGAAAATTGGATTTAGATTGGAAAGGACATCTTGAATATCCTCAGTAATAGAATTTTGTAGCAAATGAAGTTGTTTTTTCCAAGATAGATAAGCCTTTTTTTGGTCACTAAATTTTGAGGCCTCCAATGTTATCAAATAACAAAGTTACAATAGAGAAGGTGGGTGGAGGTGGTTGGGCATTGAATTTAATGAGGAGAATCAATTTTTTCTTGGATATCTTGTCTTTGTAGTCAAGACAGATGATTCAGCCTGAGGAACACTTCAACCCTTATGTGTTAGCTGTAAGGCTAGAATGATGACACTCCTGTATAAGGTCAGGAGTGTTTTTCAGATATTATATACAGTATTCTGAATAAATTGCCATTTATCATTGATACTTATACAAATTGTCTCCCATTAGGGAGGGGTGGGAGAACAGATCAGGGACTGGGTGAAAAAGGGTGATGCCACAGGAAACCAGTAGAGCCAATTGGATCCATAAGCTTGTTGATATGGAACATGTCATTTTAGGCCACTTTGTGACTGTGCATGAATGCACCCCACATCTGGAAGCAGAATTAGGAGGAAAGTATCATGTCCAGAGCAGAGCATGTAAAGTCATCCATGGGGTGCCATAGCTGTTAGCAGAGGATGACCTACAGGTCGTGGCAGGGAGACATATCCTCTGAAAATGACTTGTGACCTTTTCTCATGTCAGAGCAAGGAAGCTGTGTGGATTTATACTTGGGGGATGTGGAAGGGTGGCAAGGATGCAGCCCCTAGATCTGAGGGGTAAGATGAAGCAGTGTTTCACAGCTCCAGAAGAAATGCTGCAAAATTGTTTTGTTTTCCGCTGGAGGAAGTGCTGAGCTGATAGCTAATCAACTTCCCAGGCCTCATGGAAGCTCCATGGAATTAGTCAGCTTGTGGGAGGATCAGCTGGGAAGCCAAAATAGATTTCAGCTTCCCAACCTTGTTTGAAAACGTGTAGATCCCAAAAAGTGAACCCCCCTGCCCCATTTAATATCTTTTACTCTACCTTGATTTCTAAGATTGTATAAATCCCCAGAGAAAACCTGTTCACTAAATGACACATATTGTAGATGTAGTTAAATGCTACATCTGTTCCTCCTAAACTACATACATATAATTGTCTTCTACCACCTGGGTGGAAATTTGGGGAGCTTAGTCCAACTCAATCTTTTGGGAAGGCTACCTTAGAGCTTTGCCTGTTTTCTACGAGCATTATTTTTAACTTTAGCCATTGCTGAAATGTTCCTTGATAGATATGACTGTTGATGATGATAATGATGATGATGAAGAATAAGAAGAAGACGAAAATGATGTGCCATCAAGTCAGTGTCACCTTTTAGCAATCACATTAGACATTTTCCACAAGGATCTGTCCCTAACGTGCTCCTTCAGGTCTTCCAACTGTAGGTCTTCCAATGGTTACCCCTTGGTTTTCTTAAAGGTATTTTCAGTCAAGGAACAGAGACTGAAATTACAATCCTGCTTCTTATCAAACCTTGTATATGTATTCTGTTGTAGATCCCAACTATCTCATGGCTAATGAACGCATGAATCTGATGAATATGGCGAAACTAAGCATAAAGGGCTTGATCGAATCCGCTCTTAATCTTGGGAGAACCTTGGACTCTGACTATGCACCTCTTCAGCAGTTCTTTGTAGTGATGGAGCACTGCCTTAAACATGGCTTAAAAGGTGGGTGCAGATTGACAGAAGATCTCCTCAGGGGATTATATCCACAGGGTTAAATTGGAATAAACTTATAGATAGGGCAGTATGTGGTTACTTGCTTTTCTTAGGTAAACTACTGTTTAAAGGGATCATTAGTTTTAGATCACGCATTTTCACCAATAAAGTGCATGAAGTGTTTATTTTTCATATCTTGGCAGTGGGCGGGTTTCTGCGTATGGATCTTATTTCCAGGTTTCCCTCAACATACCTTCATATCCAGTGTCCAATACCTGATTTGGAGGTCTACCCCATTAGGATAAGAATCCAAGCCTAAAAAATGTGTCAATGTATTTATTTATGGAATCAACTAAGACTTTTAATGTATACTTTTAAATGGAACAGGACGGGAACATTATTAAATGCATGAGGAAGAACCAAATATGTCCTGATCCCCAAAATGTTTTTGCCTTGGCATTGCCCACTTTTTTGAGTGCAACTAGAATCCCACTGAAAGGATATTTTTGTGTAACTCTTGACCTGAAAACCTTTGCATGCTGTTGTTAATCACTTCCCCCGTTGCTCTGTGGCAAAAGGTAGGAATGAAAATAGCAAAGCAGTCCTCCCTAGGGCATTTGTCACACCAAGGCACAGCACTGCAGGCTGCAGCTCTTAAAGCATATAGAGATTGTGCTGACAATATATCCCTCTGCTTTAACTCTTAAACCCCCCCCAGTCCCCTTCCCTGCAAAAAGCTGAGAAGTTTTTGATATCACTGTGTCACCAGACAGAATTGCGCCCCCAGCCCTCAAAGACCTAAGTAATATGTATTTTTAATCCTTTTTTTTTTTTGCCCTGAATTCTCTGCACAGATACTTGATAGCAGTTAAAACTCTTATCCAGTGAAGTGAGATGGAGTAATCCTGGTCTGTTTTCTCTAAACGTGGTTCCCCAGGAAATAGAGGCATTAAAGCCAAATCCATCCCCCAAAATTATGCTGGCAGATTCCTCAATAAGCAGGTTTTGATGTAGAAAGTCAGGAGAAGGGACATCAGTAACCTCAGAGCTTGCTAGAAAGCCTCTTTAGAGTGTGAGGCAGAGATGTCAGCCAGTAAATCCCTTCATTTCTCAAGTAGAAAACTGGTTGATGTATGTTGGTATGCCTTGCGTGGTTTCAGAGACATCCGTACTCATTTGTATACTGTTGGATTTCTCAATTAATCCACTGTTATTCATTATGGATGCATATATAAAGGTTGGTTTTGTAATAAATGTTGTGATACCAGTGTACTTGCTGAAAATCAGAAAGAGATGGACCAGATGCTCACATGTATGAAAGCAAGAAGTAGCAGAGGGGGAAGAGAAGGTGAGCAGCTTCCTTCTGTGGCATCCAGGTCTGGTGTCCAGCTCTTCCTCTGAAAGGAAAAGGGATGCAAAGCTGAGCAAATAAAAAGATAAATATGAGGAACTCTCTTGATGGATTAAGACACTGTTTCCTTTTAATTTTTTTTAATAGAGTTTATTTATCTTAAGCTTTACAAGATGAAATACACAAAATTGGAAAAAAAAATAAAGGAAAACATGAAAAACAACAAAAGCAAAATAACCAACTTAACAAAAACGGGACAGGGTTAAACAATATATACAGATCACCTATCCATCAAAAATCAAACAATATTTAAATGTTTCTGAATCTAAATGAAACAAAATAAATGATGATTCTCTATTGTTACAAAATGCCATAAAATCTGTGCCAAAGGAGAATATATTTTGTCATTTCTTGATTAGTAGAAGAAACTGCCTTTTCAAAAACAGATAGATTACACATCTCTTGAATCCAATCTGTAATATCAGGGATAAGACTGGTTTTCCAATTTCTCAAAATAATTATCTTAGCAACACCCCAGGCCTGATATAACCATAGCTCCCCCAAAACAGCCAGATTCCAAAGTTTTGGAACATAATTTAACATAACATTAGCAACTTTAACATTAAAAGATTGTCCCATGAATGTACTAATGTATGTTACAATATTATTCCAAAAATATATCAGTGAGGATTAAGAGATTCCTTCCTGGTTTACTGCTTCCCAACAGATCATTGGCCATGCTTCCTGGGAATGATCAGAGTTCTGGTGCACCCATACCTGGGAGGTGTGATTGGGGAAGGCTGGATTAAGATATTGAGGGGCTTTGGAAACATAGTATTTGAATTTCTAATACAATACCACTGTCCCAAACCACTTGAGATGCCAATTCAGATATTAGAAACACAAATGTTTTTGTTTAGCCAAGAAGACCTTTCTGGGCCAAAACAAGTCATTTTGGGGGCCTCTGGAATTGGTAGAGAAGTTTGTCCCTGAAGCTGGAGAAATCACAGCAAGTGTTAAAGATCTGCCAGGGCTGAAGTAAGTGTTGTCTTCTTCTATTCTTTCAACGAGATGCTGGTCAAGCATTTCTCAGAAATTCTGTGGAGCGGTAATTTTATTCACTAGGGACTCGTTCAGGACTCAGATACCAGTCCATAACACCTGCATTTTATGTTTCTGTTATTTGCTCCAGAGGTGTAAGGAGAAAAGTGGAAGGCTGTAATGGCTATGCTTTGCTATTTGTGCATTTTCTTGATGCAATACATGAAGTATTAGATGTACAGTATGTTAGAGTATGTTAGATACTAAAGGATCTTCCTCTGTGGTTGGAGAAAAAGGAGGGCAGGAAAGGATACCCATGCAAGCTGGGTTTGTAAATGAAGCTAAACTAGGTTTAGGAAACCAGATGGTCCCTAAAGACTTTCAGTAAAAACATTCAGAAACCCAGCAAGACCTTCTTGAAGTTTTGGATTATGAGGTTGCTTGCCATTGCTTTAAACAGTGAAACAAACCATAGTTAAGAAGTGTCGATTGGATTGGCCTATCTGGTAAACTGCAGTTAATCTTAACCAGAAACAAAATGTTCTGAAATTCTCGTGGCCGTGCTGTATATTCTTAGTCCTCCAACACAAAATCTGATCTGGCTGCCACATCTCAAAAAAAGAGAAAATCACATTGAACCAGGTAGAGGAAAAAGCAATTAAAGGAGGAGAATAAAGTATTTCTCCAGTAAAGAAAAATGATAATGGTGAGTAAGAGTAATAGATAAGAAAGATATCAAAATTATTCATGATGTGGCAAGAAAATGATTATGAAAGTTTATCTCCTTCCATAGAACTGTAAAATTGTGGTCATTCATAAAAGCCATATGCCAGGAGGCTCAGATCAAACAAAAGGACAAAAACGACTTCATACAGAGCTAGTCAGGCTGTTGGATTTGTTTCTAGACCTATAATGATGGCCATCAAGCTGGGCATCTCTGAAAAGAAGAGTAGACAAGAGTCATTGAGGCTAAGATTGCAAATGGCTATTAGTAATTTTGATTAAACATTATCTCCAGGAGTGGAGGCAATGTATTTAGTTGTATGCAAAAGTTTAGGTGCCCCAGTCAGATGTTACGTTTCAGTGACTCCTTAGAGGAATCAACGTTGGCATAGTTCCTGCATGGTACAAAGTTATGTTGAACTTTGCAACATGCGGGGGTTATGTCAACTTTCATCCTTTTGCAAATTTGAATTAAGAAACGAAAGATCCCCGGCGAACAAAGTTGAGCTTTGCATACAGGCTGCAGGTTGTTTACCTCTTAATTAGAGCTGAAAGCAAAGGAAAATTCTCTGAGCTTAGATTTCATACTGAATTAATTTTAATTAGAAATGATTCCTTCCATGCACTCTCTTCTACACAATGCCTGGAAAAGGAGGAGAGGGAGCAAGTGAAGCTCTGGCATATTTTATCTCTTACAGACAATGTGGAATGGTTTCTCGCCTTGTTTCAGTTTAGATGTTTCCTTGATACGGAACAAGAGGGAAACAAGCAAATTCATTGCTGTGCTCAGCTAGGAAAAGGATTTGAAAATAAAGCAGTACAATACATATTGTAAAAACTACCATGTAAATCTGTGTGTCCCCATCTGAAATATTGTCTGTGATTCTGGCTGCCCCAAGTTAAACCAATTGTGTGGAGGTAAAAAAGAGCAGTTTTTCATAATTTACTTCTGTCTAATTAGGAAAAAAATTCTTTGCCCAATTTTATTGTTTATTTTGTGTGCAGAATCTGGCACTTAGATTACATACCGCCTTATGTGTAACAACATTTATCATTTGCTTTTGGGACTTGGTAGGACCCCCGTGGGGAGAGGGAGAGCCTGGCTTCGTCTGGCGCTAATGCAGAAGAAACTTTCAGAGTACATGAAAGCTTTGATAAACAGAAGGGAAATTCTCAGGTGAGAACTTCGTTTGTCCCTGACTGGAAAGCCTTGGCTTCAGTAAATCAGCTTGCATGACGTAAATCAGTTGGTCTCTTCGAGCAGACTTTTTATACTACGTGTCACTGCATTCAGTGTTCTGAATTTTTTAAGAGGATGAAATCTAAACATTTCTGTTTGGAGACTTGCTAGAATAGCATCATGCACTTAGATTCTTCCTCTCCAATCTGTGAGATACCACCAAGTGAAGTTGAAGGATTGCCACAAACATGTCTTTTGTTTACTTTGATGTAGTAGTAAAACATTTATGCAGTTTCTCTGATGGACATTTGGGGTTCTGTTCAGGGTTCCTCTGAATTCTGAGAGCCCTAACTCCTGTGTCATTCCAGCTGTTAGGTTGAAACATTCTTACCTTGGATAACAGAGTATGAATTCTAGCTTGCATAATGGAGTTCCCATAAAACATGTCCAAGGTAAAAGAATGCATATAGAACTCTTCTTCAGGCCCTGCTGCTCAGTGTGGCTGGGAAATGAGGATTGTGCCTACCTAGAGGGCAAGACCCCTTGTGGCCCATTGCCCAATGTAGGTTTCATGCCTTGTGTCTTCACGTGAATGATTGAAAAGTGATAGATGTAGGGTTTCTGCCATAGAAACTTCCTTCCAAGATGAAGTGGCAGAAGAGCTTATTTAATTGTGAGTTTAGAAAGCACAGAATCGAGAGTATGCAAGTACCAGGGCTGCTCTGCTGGGTATGGACTTCTCATGACCTCAGAAGGTTTGGCTGGTTGGTTGGTTGATTTATCTGTCAATCAATCAATCAGTCAATCACATTTATATAGCCCCTCATCTCACACAAACTGACTCTAGGTGGCGAACAACAAGGCTAAGGACAAGTAAACTATATGTGGGTCTTCGTAGCCAAATCATCTATACCTGTATAGAACGTGTGTGTAAAAGCACCTGCCATGATGTAACAAATTGTATTTCAATGTGTTTTGCAGTGAATTTTATGAACCAAATGCCCTAATGATGGAGGAAGAAGGTGCTATAATTGCTGGACTTTTAGTGGGCCTAAATGTCATTGATGCAAATTTTTGCATGAAGGGTGAAGACTTGGATTCTCAGGTGCTGGATCTTTAGTTTACATATAATTGAGGATGATATGCTGTCTCTTGAGTTACTGTAGCTTGTAGATACAGTTAGCCTTCTTGCATTTTGGCTGTTTAATGTTGGCTGTGCGAAATCAAATGTCACTTCACTAAACTCTGAAGACAGATTCTGCCTCTTTTTTAAACGAAAACATTGAGATGTTCTCAGTTGGAGGAACCAAGAATCTAGAGGACTACTGATTTGATTTGCACATTCTAATTTTGCTGTACAGATGTTTGCCTTCAATCAAATGCTAACTACTGCTCATGGAGCTTTTCTAAACAGTTGTATGTTGTATGTCCTTTAGAACAAACATTCTCCTTCCCTCTTAGTTCCTACCAGGTGTATTTTAAGTCAAAATGCTTTTTTCTTTAAATTCATGTTTATTGAGAATTTTACAAAAAGTAGAAGACAAATCTAAAGAAAAAGAGAAGAAAGAAGAAAAATGTGCAAGAAAAGAAAAAAAGAAAGAAAACTGAAGTTATGAAATATGACTTCCATCTTTCTCTTCAACATATATTGACAAACCCATCGTTTCCCCCCCTTATCTCTTCAACACCTTATTTAATTTTCATATTTTCAGTCTTTAAATCCATAAATCATCATTTCACTTTTTCTTCTTTTAGCAAAAAGTCCATAAAAGGTTTCCAGTCTTTTAAAAAGCACTTCTTGTTTTCTTCCTGACCAAACAAGTCAGTTGCCATTTCTGCTAATTTGAACAGTTTTACGATCCATTCCTCCATTGTATGAACTTCAGTATTCTTCCATTTTTGTGCATATAGTAATCTTGCTGCTGTTACCATATGCAAAATTAATCATCGTGAATCTTTTCTAATTTAGTATCCATAAGTCCCAATAAATAAGTTCTGGTATCTGCAATATTAAACTTTAAAAATTTTTGTATCATTGTATGATACAAAAGGTCTTTGGCTTTTTCACAAGTCCACCATGCATAGTAAAATGTCCCTTCATGTTTTTCAACATTATTTTAAACCAAAATGTTATTTCAGTTTCTTTCCTTCATTTTCCTTGAAGCAAAGGGACAAGTAACAACAGAAGAAATGTTCAAAATCTGAATGAAATTGTGTTAAATAAATAAATAAAAACTCTCATATTAAAGAATAAAACCGTTAGTACAGGGGAAAAACTTCCCTTTGATTAAAAAAAAATCTCATCCTTTTTGTTCTTTTCTTTTATTGAGCAACTATTTATTTATTTATTTATTTATTTATTTATTTATTTATCGCATTTATATAGCTGCCCATCACTCTGGATGGCATACACAATAAAACAATCCAAATGAATAAATACCAATTAAAAATACAATTAAAATAAATTAAAAAGATAACAAAATGGCAAATAAAGCATCCATTTTATGTGGAAATAACAGCAGTTCTCGGAGATACACTTTAAAGAAAACTTGCAGAGTTTATTCCTGGACTTTTAGGCAATTGGAGATGTAGAGGCACGATAAATGATTGAAGATAGTAAGTTAGGGATGTAGAACTGATTTCAGAGACAGTGGCAGACTTCTGAAGTGACTCTTCTTTCCAGGTATAGTACACTCTACTATGAGGAAGATGACCTTGACAGAGATGTGCAAAATCCATTACTAGGGGTGACAAGGGGAGAAACTTATTTTAAGTCCAGAACAGTGAGGTAACATTTGGAAGTGACTCAGGCAGACACCTCCCTAATTCACTGAACTCTAAGGAGGAGGAGGAGGTCCAGTGCAATCAGACTTGCAAGATTCTGTGATTATAACTCATCTCAATAAAAGTTGGTTTAGCCTTCCTGTAGAGTTGATTTCCTCGTCTGGTCTGCCTAATGGGGCTGACATCAATCTTGCGAGTCTGATTGTACCATGTACCTGATTACTGAACATGCCTTAGATCAGTGTTTCTCCACCTCAGCAACTTTAAGATGTGTGGACTTCAACTTCAGAATTCCCCCAGCCATCATGGCTGGCTGGGGAATTCTGGAAGTTGAAGTCCACACATCTTAAAGTTGCTGAGGTGGAGAAACACTGCCGTAGATGAATCACACACTTAATAAGTTACAGTATAAGAAAAATAATGTGAAAGAAAAGTGTATGAGTGTCAGACATGACATATTACTACTTCTCTTGTAGGTTGGAGTTATTGATTTTTCAATGTACTTGAAGGATGGCAATAGCAGTAAAGGCAGTGAAGGGTAAGTCCTTTTATTCCTATCCAGAATCTGTATTTTAGATGGTTGTGTGAAGCTCTGTTGTAGGAGAACTTTGACAATTTTACTGCTTTGTTCTTTTCTGTTAACTGTCACCCTAGCCTGCAATGCCAGATTTAACACAACGTTGTAATAATTTCTGGAAATACTTTAACTAGTGAAATGGTTTGTGAAGAAAAAAAGACATGAAAACTTTAAAATGCTAATAGTGATACCAGTATGAGCCAGTTTAGTGTAATGGTGGAAGGCATTAGGCTAGAAACTAGGAGACCAGGAGTTCCAGCTCTGCCTTAGATGCGAAGCCACCAGGGTGAATGTGGACCAGTCCCTTTCTCTCAGCCCTAGGAAGAAGGTGGCAAGGACAAACCACTTCTGAAAATGTTGCCAAGAAAACTGCAGGGACCTGTCCAGGCAGTTGTCAGGAGTCAACACTGAATCGAAGGCACAAAAAATATATATACAGGTAGTCCTTGCTTAGTGACCACTCATTCAGCAACCGTTCAAAGTTACAACAGTGCTGAACAAGGAGACTTACGACCGGTTCTTGAAGTTGCAGCCATTACAACATCCCCTCAGTCACATGATTGTGATTCAGGCGCTTGGCAACTGGCACGCAGTTACGACAGTTGCAGCATCTTATGGTCATGTGATCACCATTTGCCGCCTTCAATGCCAGCTTCCAACAAGCAAAGTCAATGGGGGAGCCGGCAGGAAGTCGCAAGTCATCGTCACGTGATGATGCACTTAACAAATGCTGCTGGAACTGCCATCATAAGTTGGCACAATCATGATTTTTCACTTTACGACTGTGTCACTTAGCGATGGAGTTGTCAGTCCCAATTATGGTAATTAACTGAGGACTACCTGTAGTAGGTTTGAAGTTCTGTGATACAGATGTAGTTACTTGGCTTACAAAAAGACTCCTGGTACTGTTTGGAGCAGCAGTGAATTAAATATGAAATTTTAATTAAGTTAATTTTTCTTATTGGTAATCTCTCCTGTCACTTTAACCATGCAAACAAACCTTCAAACATGGAAGCCATATTGAAAGCCTTCTCAACCAGGACTGTAATTCACACTATTTCTTGCTAAAAGGGTCTGGCTGGGCATTACATGTGATGTTGCTGAACACTTCTGGAGGCAACTGAGTTGAAGAAGCCTAGTTTGGCTTAGAGTTAATTATGTGTTTTACCTTTCTATCATCTCAGCACCCATTTTTATAGATTCATTTTCATCTCTGTGTAAAGCAGCCTCTGGAGCAGGGGTGTGTGTGTGTGAGAAAAAGTCAAGATGGCAGCTGGGACCACTGATCATCATGTGTAAAGGGGGTGGGATGTCTTCTTGTCATCACCATCTTGACTTTTTTGACCTCCCCTGCAGACAGCCTGGCTCTGGAGGCTGAATGCTGACTTGCCAATTCAGACATTATGCCAGTCTATAATTATGACGAACAGTAATTTGCAAGCCTTTTCACGTTACGTGAAATTCTTTTCAAACCATCATTTATTTATTTATTATTCTAGGATAATTGGTTTTTATTGTATGTCAGTTCAGACCATACTAGACCTTAAAAATCTTAATTGTAGTTTAATGTATGATTGGCAAACAACTGTCAGTTGAATTGATGAACTTTATTTTGTTATGTCAGAAAGAAGTTGATGTCTGCTCTTTTAGGGGCCAAGTAATTATCCGTGCATTAGTTACTAACTTTTTCATGAATGCAATAAACAAATTCTTCTTCCTTATTGCTTTGCTCGGCAGTATTGCTTAATATTGCTTTATGTACATCGTTAATATTCACTGTGTCCCATTTTCAGTGATGGTCAAATTACTGCAATTCTGGACCAGAAAAATTATGTAGAAGAGCTCAATAGACATTTAAGGTAAAGAGGTAAATCTTCTGTAGAAAATTCGGTCAATTAGTGTTGAATTCTTAAGTTTCATATAGTTACTACGTGTCTTTTTATTTGACAGTGCTACAGTCAACAACCTGCAGGCAAAGGTTGATGCTTTGGAAAAATCCAACACTAAACTTACTGAGGAGGTAGGTAGAAATGAAAGAAATGTGTTATTTTTCCTGTGTAGGATAAAATTAAAAGAGACATCATTCAGGCTTTAGGTACATTACGATACATAAATAAATTAGATCACTTATAATTAACTAATATCCCAGTCTGGTTCATGCATACCCCATAGTAGATTCCAAATGCAAGCGGTGCTAGATGAATTAACATTATGGAATGGAAATATATCTGGCCTAGAGTACAGATGTCTAACAGAGAGTTACTGCTGTTGTGGAATCGTGCAAAAGGTGACACTAACAAACTACAGATGGGTCTGGATTACAAATTGGGAAGTTTCTATTATCTTGCAAGAAAGCAACATAGTTTTGCTGAGGGTGTGCCTCCTAGGTGGGCATTTTATGGAGTATGGGCTAGAAGAATATTGAAAAGAAAATAATATAAGGAACTGTAGGTGGACTTGCAGCCCCCAACCCCCAAATTGTTTGAAAGTGTCAGCAGTGGTAGATTTTCTTTCATTTGTATTCTTGTGGTTAATGCAGCTTGCTGTTGCAAACAACAGAATTATAACACTGCAAGAAGAAATGGAGCGAGTCAAGGAGGAGAGTTCATATATTTTGGAATCCAACCGAAAGGTCAGTATGTATGTGTGTATTACATCCAGCAATTGGGGACGGATTGGTTTTTCCATTCTCTTGTGCTTCTGTAATATGGCTCATTTGATAAGACCTCTTTATTCTTGATCACCTTCACTCTTCTGCTTTCTGCTTGTGTTTTGCATTGCAGGTGGTCCTTGCTTAACGACAGTAATTGGAACCAGAATTTCTGTTGCTAAGTGATGTGACTGTAAAGCACAATGTCATATGACTGCACCGCTTAGCGATGGCAGTTCCTGTAGTCCCCAGTTATGGTCGTTAAGTGAATCACTGCAGGTCATTAAGTGAAGAACTCACGTGACTGCAGCTTCTAACTTCCTGCTGGCTTCCCCATTGACTTGCTTGTGAGAGGCTGGCAGGGAAGGTTGCAAATCGTGATCACGTGACCACAGGACACTGTAATGGTCGGAAATCCAGGCTGGTTGCTAAGCGCCCAGATTGCAATTAGGTGACTGTGGGAGTGCTGTGACGGCCAGAACTATGAGGACTGGTGGTTAAATACCACTCGTTCAGTGCCATCATAAGTTTGAACGGTTGCTGAACGAGTGGTCATTAACCAAGGACCACCTGTAATACATTCCAGGTGATTTGTGTGTTCCTGTGTTAGGATGTATAATATCTTCTCAAGGTTGTTTGGCTATTAGGATTCTCCATCTCTCAAAGAAGGAGGATAACAACCCTAACACTGTGGCCTGATTGGGGTTGGTGGCTCTGTAGGTGGAGTCCACTGGATCCAATCCCATTCCTTTCCCACTTTGTCTGCCCTACAAGTGATTCTGGGTGGGGCAGGGTAACAAATGAAACAGTACAGAAGCTGGATGTTATACCTGGAGAGTCCTTATGGAGTTGAGCAGCTTTCTAAACTTGACAAACACATGTATAAACTAGAAATAATAGTTTTTGGTGTTAACTGACAGGATTGTGGCATTTTTGCAACATGCTCCCTCCCCAGCCAGTACATTGTATTGTGGAGAATGGTGGTTAACTCTGTGCTTAGAAGAGACAGCACTAGCATTTAATCTGTGTCATCTCTGTTGATAATAACCTTTCTATTCTCTTTGCTTTACTGACGTCTTGATCGATTACAGGTAAATAAGCAGGATCGAACTGCAGACGGACATGCCCTTACTGAAGCGAGGAAACAATTAAAAGAGGAAACACAATTAAGACTGGTAAGGTGGATAGCAGGTGTAGAGAAGCTATGGCAGAATTACAACTCCTTGTAGGCCCATCCCAGCATGGCCAGTGGAGAGGGATTCTGGGATTTGGAATTCAGCAACATCACAAAGATCGCTGTTTCCACTCCCCTTACATCAAAGTGTGAACTGCTTGGAAAGTGACCTGATTTATTAAGGAGTGAGGTTTTTTACATGCCAGATTCCACTACGTCAGATTTAAATATTGTTCTGATGCCCCTGAATGTTCACGCCATAATACCTTTTGTACTAGTTAATGTTGGAAAAGACATGCTCTGACTTCCTCTGTGGCAGGCTAACCTTCCTCTCCTAGAGTCATCATTGAAAATTAATGTCTTATTCCATATCCTGGAGGAATGGACACTATAGCGCTCTACTCAACCCTACCCTTTCTTGAATCATAGCCATTTCTTATGGGGGCAGAGTCTTTCAAACATTCGCTCTGCCATAGCATGTCTATATGTGTGTGCATGGTTTAGGATGTGGAAAAAGAACTTGAAATGCAGATTGGAATGAGACAGGAGATGGAGCTGGCTATGAAGATGCTGGAAAAAGATGTTTGCGAGAAGCAAGATGCACTTGTGGTGCTCAGACAGCAACTGGATGATCTCAGGGCCCTAAAACTTGAACTTTCTTTCAAGCTGCAGGTAAACCAGCAGGGATGGGTTGATGGCAGGCTCTGCCTCTCTTCCTCCTAGCCTTCATTTGGGAAAAATGGAGGGCTTGGACATGGGAGAATAAGATTGCTCGGTTATGAAGCTTGCCACGACACTGTGGCTTTTTACTCATTTCTCTTGGTTGGTGTGGTTAAAGAATATGGTCTTACTGAATCTTTGGGACATGGTTGCTGTAGGAAAGCTTTCACAATGAGAATGCTTTAAAGTAGGACAACTGACCAGGTAACTCTTCTGTGGAGCAATTTTCAAAGTGTGAGAATAGCTAGAAGAAACTCTGCATTCCTTTTGCAATTTGTCCATGCAGGGCTGGTCCAAATGTGAAGTAAACTCTCCCTTTACGCTGGGTTGAAAAGAGAGGGAGGGGTTGTGCTTGCTGTCTCCCTTACCTTTTGTAAATTCCACTCTCTCCCTCCTCACTAGAAGAAACAAAACTTGAGGTGTTTCTCATGCACCTTAGATTGTTTCATTCTGTCATCTAAAACACAAATATTACTAATTGCACATTTTCCAAAATAATCTTCGGTCATGTTAAAGATTTGATTGGATTTGATGGTCTAAAGCAGTGTTTCTCAACCTCAGCAACTTTAAGATGGGTGGATTTCAACTCCCAGAATTCTGGGAGTTGAAGTCCACCCATCTTAAGACTGCTGAGGTTGAGAAACACTGGTTTAAAGGGACCTCTCCAGTTCTACGGAGATGAGAAGTTACTTTTGAACAATCAGTGGAATGTGCACAGCATCTAAAGGAAAAATAAAGATCCGCCATCCATATAAATATAAGTAATTGTTGCTTATGCAAACCAGCAATTTGCAAGAATGTGTATCTTATTTATTAACTATTAAAGCCATGTTTATCAGGAGACTATACAATTGTTCCCCTATTCCTGTACCTTTTGAGATTTTAAACGTTTTTGCAGGATAAATGTCTTTTCTCCTGCTACACTGCTGATGTGTATATTAGCCTTTGCCAGCCTTCCATGCCAGCTGGCGTGGGAATTATAGGGCCTGTAGACCAACACATTTGGAGGCATTAAATTGGAGGAGATACAGTAATGCAAAATATATTCATGCAAAATATTTTGCACATGATGGTCTTTGCACAAATATTAACCATAACCTCAGAATCTTTAAGGGTTAGTAAGGATAGTTGTTGTTCCTTTTGTTATTTTAGAGTTCAGACCTGGGAATGAAACAGAAGAGTGAATTGAATAGCCGCTTGGAGGAGAAGACCAGTCAAATGGCTGCCACAATTAAACTGCTTGAACAGAGGTAAACTTAGAGCCAGCTTATTCAAGCAAGCTATAATTGTGATTTATATTCATTCCTTCTTGGGCTATATGAAAATAGAATTTAAGTTGTTTAAACTTGCATCTTGCAAGGGCCAATCTCTTACAATGAGTCTGCTGCAGAAAAGTCCGGGAATATTGGCCTGCTTGTTATATAATAGCACTCGTACAGCTTCAGGCCAGCCTTCTCCCAGAATTCCAAACCACCAAAGATTCATACCACCTGCTTGTATGTAGACCATCTTTTGGGTTCTGCAACACTCCATACCACCTTTAGGTGGCAGCAAAGAGCTGGACCTTTTTTTGTACCTCTTTGTTGCCATCTATGGGTATCCATATATTTGCATCCCAGATATGACATCTCCATTTTTCCCAGAGAAGGAGAAATTCTGCAGCATTTCTCAAGGGAGGGATTCCCCCGTAAGCAGGAACAATTGCATTGCTACTGAAAAAGCCCTGTAAGAGGAATTCTGTCCTGATTCTTCACCTGGGGTTTAACAGAGATTTCAGAAGCATCTGCAGACCCTTGGAAAGCCAATAGTAGAATGACAGTCAGGACATTAATGTACACACCCCTTAACCACTCTGTAACTAAATAGATGTGAGTCCACCAGACTCTACCTCTGAGAATGTCATCAGAATCCTCTTCCCCTCTGAAAGAACATTCAAAAGGAAATTGTCTTTCAGAAAAGTGAATGTACAAAGAAATACAATTATACAAAATTTCTCCACCTAACGTTAAAAGGAGAACATTTCCACAAGTGTTCTTAAGTGAGGCTAAAGCATTCTGACCAGAGGCAGCCATGTTCTCTATTCATACAGGGCATCAGGGCTCTTGTGTTACTCAAAACATTTCTACCCTTCCGAACGCGCCAGCACAATAGTTCCTAAAATTCTCAGCTATTGCCTGTCAGCATCTGTCTGTTTGAAGACACATGGGTAGTTCTAATAAAAAAATTAATCCCCTCAAACTGACCACCTCCAGACAGGCTAAGGCTAAGGCTAAGCTAGTCTGAGCTGTTCTGATTGAATGGGAGTATTTAAAGGGAAGCACTGTGAATAAATCTAGGACAGCTATTACTTGCCAATTACAAAGGTAAAATTCTGAGTTCTTCATTTCACTATCCCAGAATAATCAAGCACAAGTATATTCCTCTTAATTTTGTGTGCACAGTAGAGGTTTGGCAACATGGATTGAAAATTTAATGTAAAATTGGAAAAGTCAGAATTTAACTGTATGTTCTCCATTTGTTAATAGACTGAAATCTAGTTGATGTAATGTGCTATGTCACGGTTGCATAAATGGTTGCATACGTCACCATTAGTTGGCATCACACACTGTGGCAGGCCATAACCATTGTTTGCAAGCCATGATGGTTGGGTTGCATGACATGCTAAGTTCAACTAATATCTCACATTGTGGCTTAATGAGATGATTGAATTGAACCAAATAAATTAAATGCTAGCATTCTGAGGAAAGATCCGACAATAAGGGGCTCCGAAACATATACATCATCACTGAACTTTGAAAATATGTAACTTTATTTGAGATACGTGTTACTGTGCCTTGCTCTTATGAAATGAAGATCAAGAGTTTAAGTTGTACTAAAGTTGTGCTTATTTAAAGTATTGTAATATACAGCCACTGATATTTGTTCAATTAACTGGCATTTTCTTTTACTGCATATTTTCTCTACTCCAACCCCCATTTTCCACATATCATTTTTATTTCCTTTTTTCCTATAGCGAAAAGGATTTGGTGAAACAGGCAAAAACCTTAAATAGCGCAGCAAACAAATTAATTCAGAAGCCCCACTAGACATTTTAATTTTTGCAGCTGGTCACATCACAACTCTGACATCTCAGCTCCGTTACGAGTGAAGAGCAAAATGAAATTGAGAATTTAGATGTCAGAATTACATGTTGTCACCTAAAGTTGACGTGGAATTTGGTGGGAATTTTTTAAAAAAGGTTTTACTTGGAAATAGAAAAATTAACTTCTAGCTTTCCTTTCCCCAATTAATGCTTAAACTTTATTAAACTACAAGCAATTTGATCAGTGAATACTCCAGAAAGAAAATAGATAAAACAAGATTTGTGGCCATGTACATGCAATTGTATACTGCACATTTTTTCTTAGTCTTTACAACATAATAGAAAATTGTAGCAATGTCCCTGCCTCGCCCCAAATGTTTCAAAGAAAGCAGATAGTTCTCTGTTTCCCTGTTGTGAAGCAGATGGAAGAAATAGAGAGAGAAAAGTTGGGAGCCTGCAGGAAACCATGATTTTGTAGATTTTGTGTTTCCACTTGATCATAAGCAGGAGAGACACACATCATGGTTAGAACTTGCTTTTAGGAGCGTTTGGCCATTATTAACCAAAGGCTTGTCTGCACTGAACACTTTTCCACCTGAGCCTTGCTCAGAGTTTTTTGTAAATTGAAAGTGCATCTGAGATGTGAGGGCTGCACAGCAATCTTCTAAGGGATATTCCCGTTCCCAGATGCTGTTCTTAAAATCACCCCAATTGAAGCAGGATGAGAACTTGTCTCTCGCTTGAGAGAGCAGAGCAAACTACACTTCTGTCTGGACTCACTCTGCTCCTTGCATTTTTCACTCTCTTCAGCTTGCAGTTGAGAACAATTGCATTGTTCCACTCTATTTTCCGAGAATTTCCTTTTAAGGCTACCTGCCAATTCATCTGATGAACGACCCCTTTGTTTGACATAGCTGCCAGTGGATGGGTATTAAGGAATACCCATCAGAAGAACCCAGAGTTAAGACAATGCAAATCATGCAAATTCTCATTGCTCAACGTTGTGACAGGAATTTTGCAGGACAAGGACAAGCTAAGATAATAAGCCAGCGCAGGCCACTTTCATAATGGGGGAAATAATTTATTCATCCCCTTTAGGTTACATGGATGCAGAATCTAGCTGTTAGCTATTTTTTAATTGGTAAACCCTTCTTTCCCTTTGCATTGCCTTCTACCTCTGCCTTTTCTCCCTAAAAGATAGTGATTCTCATTTCCTGATGGACTTTTATGATACGTGCGTGTTCCCTTCCCTTCCTCTTTTAGGAAAGACTGAATAATTGTTTCTTTCATGTATAAAAGGGATAAACAGAAACTGGTAGTGTTTTAATGCTGATGACTCCTTGACTAAGAACAACTACAGCATACAATAATTTGGCCATTGTTTAAAGCTGCCTTTTGCCGCGGTTAACATTTGATTCTGAGTGATCTGTATCAAACAAGGGATTTGCTAGGAGTTGTACTGAAAGATCATCTAAGCCTTAGAAAGTTTAGTAAGACACCATGCTGCAACTCAACAATGTGTTTTTTCTTTTCCTATTTCTGATGAAATCAAAGGTGGTTCTAAGATGTCACAGTGCTAGATCTTAAAGAGATCTCAGTGTATAGATAATTATCAACATTTCTCAGACTATCCAAACTATTTTTTTCTATCTTAAATAGTCTGTTCTTCTTCAACCAAGTACCCCCCAGATGTGTGGGGCTACATTTTCCAGCATTCCTAGGCAGTACGGCTTTGGACTATATTGATCGAGGATCTGGGGAAGTGTAAACCTAGGATATGTCCATGTGTGATGGGTGTGTGTGAGAGAGATTAAAAAATTGTGTTCCTTTTAGTTCCCAATAGGATTGAAATAGTTTCATCCTATATAAATCACCTTTACTGTGTCCAGGCAAAATGGGGAAATGGGAAAAAAGATGGGAATAAAAAATAATAGCCTGATTTTAAAATCTATATGGCTGTAAAATCTCATTCACTTCATAGCTTATAAATCTGTCTGACAACACCAGTCAGATTTACTTATTTATTTATTTTCCTGAACCTTGAAAAATGGCATTTTGGGATGGCACGTTTAATTCCTATCCAAAAGTTTTAGTATTTTCATTACAATATCTAAATGGCATATAGTTAATGTTGTGAGAATGCCCTAGAATTACAATCTGAGTTTTCAAAAAACCCACACTCCTCATGTACATTTTGAGGAATCACCCTCAACATTTTGGGAGAGAGGGGAATTGTCCCTTTCCCAAATAGGGTAGGTGAAGTTCCTTTGGGTCAAACTCAACTCTGGTTGACTTCATGGTCATGACCATCTGGCTATTTTGGCAGCATTGTGGAAGTGTTTCCACTTGTCTTCTTCTGGGGTATTTATAGCCTTGAAGTTTACAGCCCTGATATTTTCTGGTAGTTTCCCATCCATGTTACAACCAGATCTGACTCTGCTAAGCTTTCCAAGATTAGCCTAGGTTGGTGCCTAGCCTATTACTCAAGTAGGCTGCTTTCACATTTCACAGTCCCATCTATTTAAAATATCCTTTGAAATCATGCTTTGCACCCAGGAAAAATGTAGTAGTCACCTCTGAGAAATTAGGTTGTTGCTTGTGGGCTGTCAGGCTTCACCCAATAGGCAGGACTGAAACCACTTAACTCATAAAACATCCAAGAGCTTTGGATAAGTGAATTTTATTGAAGAAAGTTAGAAGCTATGCTTGCAGAATTTCAGCAATTGCTGTGTTGCAAGAACAGGCCTTAGATAGAGAAACAACATTCAACTCCTTCTATATCTCTTTATCCTTCCTGCCCTTTTGTGTAGGCCAGTGTTTCTCAAGCTTGGTGGTTTGAAGATGTGTGGACTTCAACTCCCAGAATTCTGGGAGTTGAAGTCCACACATCTTCAA